GAGTCCAGGAGTCCAAGACCAGTCTGGGCAACATAGCGAGACCTCATCTCTGCAAAAAAGCAAAAAATTAGCTGGGCATCATGATACATGCCTGTAGTTCCAGCTACTCAGGAGGCTGAGGCAGAAGGTTCACCTAAGCCTAGGAGGTTGAAGCCAGCCTGGGTGACATAGTGAGACCTTGACTCAAGAAAAAAGAAAAAAAGTATATGAACGCTCATTATATTTTTGAACATTTCAGTGAGCTTGAGCATTCTTAAAATAAAGTGTAAATAAAAGAAAACTTTTTTAACTTTTAATTTTTTTTAAAGATTTGGGGTACAATTCAGGGTTAGGTATACCAATGTTCATTATGCAGGTACCCTTGTTGATGAGGTGTGTACCCCCTTCCCCAGGCAGATTCCCACTACTGCCAATCCTGCTACCCTGCTACCCTCCCAGCGGTATCCAATACTGCCAATCCTTTTCTTATAGTATTACAATAATTGTTGAAGGTTCGCTTATGAATGAAAACATGTGATACTCAGTTCTTTGTTTTTGTGAAAGATCACTCAGTATTATAGACTCCAACTCCATCCAGGTTGCTGTGAAGTTCATAATTTTGTTCTTCTTTATAGCTGTGTAATATTCCATAATTTATGTAACACATTTTTTTTTAATCCAGTCCTCTTTTGATGGGCAGCATGGTTGGTTCCATGTTCTTGCTACTGTGAACAACGCTGCAATAAACATACGTATGCAGGTTTTTTTTATAGAGTGATTTGAGTTCTTTCGGTATATTCCCAGTAGGGGGATTGTGGGGTCATATGGAAGGTTAATTTTTAGATCTTAGGAATCACCACATTGTTTTCCATAGAGACTATACTAGTTTCCATTCCCACCAACAGCGTAGAAGTGTTCCCTTTTCGCTGCATCCTCTCCAGCATCTGTTGTTTTTTGAGTTATTGATGCTAGCCATCCTGGCTGGTGTTAGGTGATATCTCAGTGTAGTTTTAATTTGCATTTCTTTGATGACAAGGGAGGCTGAGCATTTTTTATGTATCTGTTGGCTGCTTGTATGTCTTCTTTTGAGAAGTATCTATTCATATCTTTTGCCCACTTTGTAGTGGGGCTGTTTGTTTTTTTTCTTTTGGGCACATTTGAGGTCCTTGTAGATCCTAGATGTTAAGCCTTTGTCAGACATACAGTTGGCAAATATTTTTTCCCAGTCTGTGGGCTGTCTCCTCGCTCTCTTGATGGTTTCTTTGGCTTTGCAGAAGCTTGTCAATTTGATGAGGTCCCACTTGTCTATCGTATCTCTTATGGCATGGGCACTTGGGGTTTTGATCAGGAATTAGTTGCCAGTTCCAATTTTCGTAAGAGTGCCTCCTGCATTTCTAAGATTCTTATAGTTTGAGGTTTTACATTTAGGTCTTTGATCCATTTAGAGGTGATTTTTGTGTATGGTGATAGGCAAGGATCTTGTTTTAACCTTCTGCATGTGTTCAGCCAGTTTTCCCAGCACCATTTACTGAATAAGTTCTCTTCCCAGTCGTTAATGGTGGAGACTTTGTCGAAGATGACTTGGTTGAGAAATTAATGTTTTGCTTCTGGAATCTCTATCCTGTTCCATTGGTCTGTATGCCTGTTCTTGTACCAATACCAGGCTGTTGCGATGATTATAGCTTTATAATAGAATTTAAAGTCTGGGAGTGTGATACCTACTGCTTTGTTTTGTTTATTTGGTTGGTTATTGGTTTTTCTTGGCTGAGGATTGTTTTGGTGATTCGTGGTGGTTTATGTTTCCATATGAATTACTGTATTGTCGTTTCCAGGTCTGAGAAGAATGCTGCTGGTAATTTAACGGGGTATTGCGTTAAATCTGTAGGTTGCCTTGGGTAGGATAGACATCTTAACATTGTTGATTCTTCCAATCCAAGAGCATGGAATATTTTTCCATTTGTTTGTGTCATCTTTAATTTCTTTGAGCAGTGTTTTGTAGTTTTCATCATAAAGTTCTTTCACTTCTCTGGTTAGGAAGATGCCAAGGTATTTCATTTTTGTTCTGGCTATTGTGAATGGGATTGTGCTTTTTATTTGAGTTTCTGTTTGTTTTTTGTTGGTGTATTGAAATGTGACTGTCTTTTGCACACTGATTTTATGTCCTGAGACTCTACCAAAGTCCTTTATCAGTGCAAGGATGTTTTTGACAGATTCTCTTGGGTTTTTGAGGTATAGAATCATGACATCTGCAAAGAGGGCTAACTTGACTTCCTCTTTTCCTATTTGGATACCCCCGACCTCCTTCTCTTGTCTGATTGCTCTAGCTAGGACTTCCAAAACTATGTTGAAAAGGAGAGGTAAGAGTGGGCATCCTTGTCTTGTTTCAGTTTTCAGGAGAAATGGTTCCAGTTTCTGTCTGTTTAGCAGTATGCTGGCTGTGGGTTTCTCATAGATGGCTCTTACTATTTTGAGGTATGTTCCATCTATGCCTAGATGTTCGAGGGTTTTTACCAAGAAGGGATGCTAGGTTTTGTCAAAAACTTTTTCCTGGCTCAGCCTGTAATCCCGCGCCTTTGGGAGGCTGAGGTGAGTGGATTGCCTGAGCCCCCAGGTTCGAGACCCGCCTGGGCAGCGAGACCTCATCTCTACAATAAATCAAAAAATCAGCCGGGCATGGTAGAGCATGCCTGTAATTCCATCTACTTGGAAGGCTGAGGCGGAAGGATCGCCGGAGCCCAGTGGGTCGAGGCTGCGGTAGCCAGGAGCGGCCACTGCACTCCACTCTGGGCGACAGAGTGAGACTCCAGCTCAAAAAAAAAAAATAATAACTTTTTCCACATCTAATGATATAATTTTGTGGTTTTTGTTTTTACATCTGTTGATGTATTTAATTACGTTTATGGTCTTACGAATGTTGAATCAGTCCTGCATCCCAAGGATGAAGCCTCCTTGGTCGTGGTGGATGATTTTTGAGATGTGTTGTTGAATCCAATTTGCCAGGATCTTGTTGAGAATTTTAGCATCTATGGATATTGATATCCTAGCATCAAGGATACTGGCCTGTAGTTCTCTTTCTTTGTTGGATCTTTACCTGGTTTGGGTATCAAAGTGATGTTAGCTTCACAAAATGATTTGGGGAGAGTTCCATCTTTCTTGATTGCCTGGAATACTTTCAGTAGGATTGATATCAGTTCCTCCTTGTATGTTCTATAGAATTCTGCTGGTCCAGGGCTTTTTTTGTAGGCAGTTTAGAAGAAAACTTTCAATGACTTCTCAACACTTTTATAATAAAACCTAAAATCTGGAGGGGGGGAGTTAGGATTGGCAGTAGTGGGAAACTGCCATGGAAGGGGAGGGCACATCTCATCAACAAGGGTACCTGCATAATGAACATTTGTATACCTAAACTTGAATCATACTCCCCATCTTCAAAATTGAAAATTAAAAAAAAAACCTAAAATCCTCCCATGATCCACAAAGTCCTAAGAAGTCTGGCCCTGCCTATATCTCCAGCTGTCTCTCACAACACCCCTCCTTGCTCACTCTACTTCAGTTAACACTGGTCTTAGTTCATACACATCCTGCAAGTCTCTACTGAAATATCACTTTCTTGAGCTCCCCAGGTCTGGTGTGTGCAGGGACTTGACTGAGGGGACCTGGGATGGTCAGGAAAAAATGGGATGGATTGTGGAGGAGTAAGGTTGAAAGGCAATTTTTAGGACTAAGAACTGGGAAGGAATGTCTTGGAGGGTGGCAGAAACAAGGATGGACAGGCTGAACGAGAACACAGTTAACCTATTAAAGCTTCATCATACATTTGCACAGCCTCCTATAATGTTCATTCATAATGTTTATTATGACTCTATTTAAATACCATGTATGTACTTATGCAATGCCTAAAATCCATACCAAATAGTAATCTTTATGCTAAGAAAGATTAGATCAGTTTTGCTCATCATTGTCTCCCCAATACTTGGCAAACTGTAAAGTGTCCAATAAATGTTGGCCTATGGGATGAACACTACATAATTTGGCTTTCAAGGAATACAATTGTAGTCCAAGTGCTTCTTAAGCAGTAAATGTTCATTCAAGTTGGGATATAAAAGATGGCTATATTTAGTTATTAGTATTGATTATTTAGTTGTTATGGTTACTGAGCAGTTTTCTTCACCAAATTCACTGAATATAACCATATTCATCTCCTCTTAGTTTCAGGTGTTCTTTTTTCCCTCTCTATTTTCTCTATGAAAAATAAACAGGTGTTAAGGGAAAGATTATTGCACACTAATAACTTTATGTCAAACTTTGATTGTTAGGTCAGTAGGTTATAACATGGCTCTTAAAGCTAGGTACAAAAGTTTAGAACTCAAACACATCAGTAAGCCTCATGCAGACCTATTTGTTAAAAGATGGAGGAAGTGAGAAAATATAGATTGATTAAATACAAATCCATCTCCACTATTCGAACAAAACAAATAATAACTATTAGGACAAAATTATGCTGACTGTGGCTTATTTGATATAGATAGCATATGTATAAAAGTGGTAGACAAGATAATTTGATAATGAAAATCCATATTATCACCAGTGTAAGAATGCAACTTGACTATATTTCATTTTTAGGCTCCATATAGCTAAATGATGACTAAATTTTGTCTAGAACTCAAGTATAGTTGCATAAATTAATAAATACAGTCCGGCCAGGCTCAGTAGTTCAGCCTGTAATCCCAGCACTTTGGGAGGCCAAGGTGAGTGGACTGCCTGAGCCCACGGGTTCAAAACCAGTCTAGGCAACTTGGCGAGACCTCGTCTCTAAAATAAAATAAAAAATAACTGGGGGTGGTAGTGTGCATCTGTAGTTCCGGCTACTCAGAAGGCTGAGGTGGAAGGATTGCTAGAGCCCAGAAGGTCGATGCTGGGGTGGCCATGAGTGTGTGTGCCACTGCACCCCAGCCTGGGTGAAGGAGTGAGACTCCAACTCAAAAAAATAAATAAGTAAATAAATATAGCTCTGGTTCTACCTGTATGGTTGGTAAAAACACACAGAGTCAGGTGTTTGGATCCTTTCTCCTGGTCCTGAAGGCAATCACATCCAAAGTTGACAAGTCTAAGAACATAATGGATAAGAAATCATTGAATGCATTTAAAAATACATACTCTCGTAAAGAATGTGAGTAACCACTATAATATACCCACAGAAGTAGAAACAGTCCTGAGAAGTATAAGGAGATAACTATTGGTTAATAAATCATTTAGTTTTTTTTAAAGACATAATATATAAATAGTATTAGCCTGACAATAGAGAAAAAATATATAGTACTTTCAACTTACATTCTTAAAACTTTTTTAAACATATTATGTTTAAAAATAAGCACAACTAAATGTTCACATACGAGTATGATTAAATAAAGCCAGTGAAATACTTTTAGCAGTATAGGATTATCATTACTCTGATTCAGTTAAATCTTTATTTCTTCTACATATTGATGGCCTTGTGTTGTTTTCAAAAGCGTCTCATGTTTTTATGACATAAGAAATAGTCTGGGACAAGAAAAAACCTTGCCTTTTGTATTAAAAAGAAAAACAGGAAAAAAAAAATAAAGGAACATACTCAGGTGAGCTACAAATGAATTGACCTGTGACATTCTCTTTGATGGAAACAAAAAAGGGGTTTTGATATTTGATTCCAAATGTAGTTTTCTTTGACTCAATGAGTCCATTTATAGAGATCACAAGGATTTCACTGAATCCTTTTATTGGTGAAGAACATGTCCATACATCAAAATAAATGATGATGCCTACTGAAATAAATGGCTATGAATATCAATACAATTGACTTTACATGTACAGTCCTGTGTTCATGTTTAATAAAGTTGTTTATAATCCCCATATATATATATATATATATACACACACACACACACAATCACAAGGAAAATCAAACTTTTTACCTGCTTAGCAGAAATGAGGAATAAACATAATCATTTTACCCAGAAGTCCCTATAAAAATTAGTAGCAATTATGAATAACTTACCTAAATTCTGAGCCATTTAATGATATGTCCAAGGATGCTTCAAACTGTCAAAAAAATCAGGAGAAAATTAATCCAAAAAATTTCATTAATTGAGTGGTGAAAACCAGAGCAAGCCTGACAGTGCTGTTCTTGTCTAATGAGGCAAGACCCTTTTAACCAGCATTATCTTCAGAGGTCATATCCCAAATCTACACAAAAAGTCCATTGGGAATATTCTGGAGTTTACATACAATCACAAGCTTGATGTATATTTATTTCTTAAAGGACTAAAGCTGGCAAAACTTTGTCTTAGACTTGAATATTATAAACAGACTGTATAAGAGGCCAGTTGGAAGTAATAGCCTTTTACAAAACACAGAAATGACCACAGAAAGAAGGAAGGAAGGACTAGGTGTCTTTAGAAAGAGAATAGGTGAGCCAGCAAAAGAGCAGGAGAGGTAAATGCAGTTCTTATAATGGTATGATACCAATCTGTATTGGATACAGTCCTAGTCAAGAAGAAAACCTACTGTCTATCACAGATAAAGATATCTGGGACTCCTCACCACAAGGCTAATAATCCAAATAGTTTTTTTCCAAGAGTAATGCTATATTTTTACTAATTAAACTACACCCTCTCATTGGTCTTTTTCGTTATTCTTAAATCTACCATCCTCACAAAGTCCTTTTGAGTAAAATAACTTGCAACCATTTAGCGTTATCTACGATAGACCACACTAATTACCTTCTACTAATACCCACTTATACTTGTTTCTTTATTGTGAGGCATTAAGTGAGTAGAGATTTCCTGTATATGTTTTTCTAATGACCCATACTATTGCATTTGGTATAGAGTTGAAGCTTTGAAATGGCAAGAACTATGTTACTTGCTCATATAATGACTAACATAACAACAAGAATGCTAAAATAATGTTTATGATAACAATGCTCTTAAAAGGAGGCAATGTGTTATAAAATTTCCTGTAACCCAATCATTCTCTGGACCTACCATTAAGTTAAAGCTCTCATCAGCATAAAACTGGACGCATTTCAAGATACTCCCTGATGTCTAAAAGAGAAAACAGAATGACATATTATAATTTTAAAAATCACCAGGGAAAGAGAGAAAAAAATAAGCATTCCAGAAGCAAAAAACTATTGAAAATGCTTTCATTCTTTTTAATAAACCTTCATTGACTGTTCCAATCAATGAAAATGTAGTGATTAATAAAATTGCAGTGATGATAATACCAAAATCAAATTGTTTCTATAAACAGGAGTGCTCATGGATTAGTTTTTACCTTTAGGTCAATGTAATATAATCTCTGCTCTGACATATCCCACTGAGCCCAAACAAAATCCTCGGCTATTCTGTCTCTTGGGAGATGGTCAGAATTTTTAATCACCTAAAAAGACCCAAAAAAAAAAATTATAAATAAACAACTTTTAAGGGAGAACATATTTGGGATTCATAATTATTTTCCATATCTATCCATATGACACATGTAAATATTTCCACAGTTCATTTTTAGCAGCCCCCCCAACACATACACAGTCTTTCCAGAAATGTTTCAAGTCATCATTTCATTACCTCCTCTTCCCAACCACTCTACGATATACTATTTCATTTTTCTTCCTAGTTTAACAGATAGGCTAATGCTGTTGACAGCAAGACCACATCTCCCACAAATCAACAGCTGCATTAATAGAGGAGTCAGAACTTTCTCTTCTATATATAACCCCCTCAAGTCAGACCTCTCTGCAGATAAGAACCCTTCACTACCAAAGACAGAAGCTGAGATGCCAAGAAAAAAACTCAGACCTGGGAGCGGGAAGTACTAGGCAATGACCCCAGTTTGGTCATAAACCAACCACACAAGCTTCAGGCATGCTTCTTACCAGTATGTCTTCCACAATGAGTATGATGATCTTGCCCATCTCTCAGAAATACTTAACTATTCATCCTTCAGGTCCTGACTTAGGCATTGCTTCCTGTACAAAGCCTTCCCTCACCTCCCCAGAATAAAGGAAAAGCTCTTCAATTCTGCATTCCTATGGTACTTTGGCATGCTTCTACTACAATTACATTTCAATTAATGCTATAAGTCTCCCCCAATGAATACGCACTCTCCTACAGCACCTTTCTATTTCCAATGTCTTGATCATTTCTAGTAGATAACAGTACTCAAAAAATGCTTGTTCAAAAGAAGAAAAACAAAATAAGGTGTGCAAGAGTAAACTGCCAAGGATATAACAAGTATAAAGTATTTGTTTTCCAAGTAGCAAAATCAGAGAACTATAGTATCAGTAGATTCCAGAAACCATCTAATTCAACCCCTCTATAGGTAAGAAAATTGAGGCCCAAAGAGGTTAGATTAAGCTGCACAGTTAGTCCAGCATGGCCTAGAATCCCAGTGTCCTGGCATTGTCCCAGTGCCCTTTCAGTTGATGTCAAAATCACGACAGAAGGAGTTAAGAATTCATTTTTCTCAAAATGTTTATCAAGCAAAAGTCATATACATTGAGGCAGATGAGTAAAGAATGAAGACATGTCAAGGTAGAAGAAATGAGTAAATAAAAAAATGTCAGAATGGCCCATATTCATGCCTAAACGCTCTCGAATTCTAACAGAACTAACTACGACTTGAGGAAGACATAGCATAAAGCATAATATATCTCTCTTTCTTGCTTGCCCAGGTCCATTCCATTTAGGCCAGAGGAGAATAATGCTGAAGAAAAGACCCAATAGTACCTGTCTGTCACTAAATTTGGGGCAATTCTTCAATTGTTCTGAAATTTGTTTGGCTGGGGTAGATTTGGGAACCCTTCCTTATAAAGGTATATGCTGACAAAGCATGGGTATCAGATTGCAATGTGCCCAGGTTCAAATCTCAATTTTGTTCCTCTCTAGGGTCACCTCACCTCTGTAAGTACTGGTTGCTATCTTTTCCATAAAAAGAGGCACAAGTATAAATACCACCACTATCATTCAGGGATATTGGGAAGAATATGTGGAATTGCATACTGATATAAGAAGCTGTCATCTAAGCCTCTAAGAATGAGGGCAGAAGAGCTTCCTGGAAGAACACACATGAATAAAGGAATGCTAAGCTGACACAGCACCACCTAGGTGGGCAGACTCCTTTCTGAGCTGCTGACAGGTGTCTGTCTGTCTGCCTCTCTCTTGGTTCCCAGTCGTCTGTCTATGCTCACTCCCAGTGCCACACCCAACTTGTTTTCTTAACTTTCTCCACTAAATTCTCAGTACTAACATTGAGATACAGCCTTAGGCTTGCCTCTTGGGCTTTACCCTCTTCTGACTTCTGGCCTTGTTATTTTTTTTAATTTTTATTTTAAAGATGTGGGGTATCTGTCCTTGTACTCCATCCATTTAGCCACTGGTGGCCACTGGTAGCCCAGAGCTCTAGCCACACACATTCCCCTGGTAATTTTCCATCCAGGCCTCTTGCCTTGAGATGTTCTATAACTGACACATAATTAATAAGTGTCATTTCCTATTCCAGTTTTGTTCATATAACTTCAAAATTTAAATCTTCAGAGAAACTTGTAAGTCTTCAGAGAAAGACTATTTTGACGCAGCCTAGATATTGAAAGAAATCATTTTAATATCAATAAAATATTAAGATCTTATCAAAATTATCAAAAAAAGACAACCCCAGTAGAAAAATAGAAAAGGATATAACTGAACAATTTTCAAAAAGCAAATCAAATAGTCAATCAGCATAGGAAAAAATTCTCAAACTCATTCATATAAAGGGAAGTGTGGACTAAGAGAATAAGAAGACATCAATTTGTACCCATCAAATTGGAAACTTTTTAAAAGGTATTAATGGTATGACTAGAGGGAAAGGGTAAAACTGTCATTTTTTACAAGTTTTTTGGAAAAAATCTGGCAAAATCTGTTGATATGTATTAAATACAAGTACTCATCAATCCAACAATCCATCCCTGAGGATTTAGTTCAAAGAAATATATGTACCAATACATAAGACAAAAAATGTTTGAGATAAAAACAAAAAAGTGGCAAGTAAGCAAAAGTCCATCCATGGCAGAATGGCTGAAAATATGTGGACACCTGTACCGGAGACTATCATATACTTCTTAAGAGAATGAATTGGAGCTACTCCGGTTGACTTGTAGGTAATTCCACAAAGTTGAATGAGGAAGAAATCAACAGTAATTCCTGGAACTGTCAGGTGCGGGTAGGAGATTAGTATTAGTATAAAGTCTGAAAGGATACATACCAGGTTGTGAACAAAAGTTAGAGGTAAAATGGAAAGGAGAAGGGAAACAAGCAAAAGAAAAAAAAAAACAAAGAAAATTAGGCTATGTAAAGGAGATATATATATATATATATTCTCAGCATATATATTATGATCTCATTTGTTATACATGTGTATATACACATAAAAACTATAATAAAAAACTATTAGATCTCTATTTAGTAACTTATAGCAACACTCCTGAAATATTAAGGTAAAAGGTAAACACAGAAGCAGCAGGTCAAAGCATATATTATGATTCTTTTGGTTTAAAAAAAGTTGAATCCCCATATATGTGCCTCTAACCTTGCAAAGGTTTGCACAAGCAAGAAAGCTGTGAAAAGACTCACACAGGCTACTGTTATTAGTTATCTCAGCAGACTGAGATTGTAGAGTGAAAGAGAAAGAAAGAGGATAATTAACTTCCTCATGTGCTTTGGTATTGTTTTATACATCACAACACCAAGTCTACAATTTGAAAGGCATCAAATAAAGAAAACATTATGTATCGATAACATTAATCTATCTTTAACAGTCTAGAAATTACTCTGTTGAAAAAACTCTGAAACAAAGGAATTTCAAATCTTTACCACTCTATTTCCATCTTCTTTGGCCACTTGGATATGAAATTGTTCAATATCTTTTTAAAAAGAAACAAAGAAAGATAATTTGCCTTCAGGAAATACATGAGTACTCTTTTTTGCCTAACAATCATAAACAAATTTTTTTAAAAACAATGCAGATTAAACAACTGGTTGCAAAACAATACTATCATAGTAATCTCACAATAGAGATTCAAAAAAATTGTTTAAAACCACCTTTCTCCATTCTCCTTGACAGTCTATTTCAAGCCCTGTATTTAATCTGTTCCTCAATATCAGGAATACATGAAACATTTAGCCCTTCTGCTCTCCTGAGTTCCCTCAACAAGTGTTTGCCTTCCCTATATTGTCTTCTACAGGCTAACAAGGGCTTATTTGCAGGATTTATCTTCAATTTCCAAACACTAAACACTTGTTTGTAGGAACGTATAAGACAGAAAATTCATACACAGGATATATTAGGTAGTCATTTTATAGGGATCAGTTTCACACTAACAAAACCCTAAACACTTTAAATTAATTTGTAGATAGTCCCTTTCTATCAGTAACAAGTAAGATACAGCCATACTTACCATCTGTTAGTTCCAGTCACAAAAAATGTGAGACAGAAAATTGAGCAAGAGCTTAAAACTGAACATAACCTTACCCTTCACCTGTCCTTCCAAGTATAAGCCAGCAGTTTCATTGTATAATATGAAAGCCAACCCTAGTAGATAAGGTTCACCAATTAATTCTGTCCTTCCCTACTTTCTTTAACTTGAAAACATCATGGAAGGACATAACCTTTTATGTCCTAATCTTATTTGCCTCTACCTGAATTTGTCCAAATTAGTAGTGTCCTCAAGTTCTGCCATGGAATTCTTCTAGCTATTAGCTTCGCCCCTCTCCATTCAAGCCTTTCTCCTTATATCATAGTTATCCATGGCAGACATTCTACCATGTGACCAACTGATGTATGCAAGAGCCCATCATTCCCAGAATGAGGAAACTGAGCAGAACCTGAGGGAACAACATTTAGTGGCCAAAGAAAAAGTCCCACTCCAGGAATTCCAGGTCTTAAATGGACATTAAATGTCAGTGGACCCTCAACAATGGCGAGTAGACATCTAGAAGATTCAATCATGTCCCACACTAGGAGTCTGTGGCCATTCATGAAATTCCCATAAATCACCTCAAGATATACTTACATTTCTCTTCTGAAATCAGTAACAGATGGTTCTCTGGAAGAGGATGACTTTCAGCATGAGGGTAGAGGAACTGTAAAAAGGAAAATAATCAAAATCGTAAGCTACTATCTTGCTTGCACAAATATTTCAAAGTTGCATTTGGCCACCGTACTACCACGTCATAGAAGGAATAGGAATCACAGACTAGATTAGAGGAATCACACGCACACACACATCAAATGTTGAAGCAAGGAGACATAGGAACACTTTCAGATCTTCAGTTTCCGGGGGATAATTAACCTCAGGTACAAGATTATCAATCATTTAAACAGTAAGGGTAAAGTTGAAGCTATTTCTGGGGATGGGACTTCCTATTTAGAATATCTGATTCTGAAGCCCAGCAGAAATAATGCAAACAAACAACACTTGTACAGAATGTTCTATTTCTCACACACACACAAAAAGAGTGATCAATATATTGGTTGCACAATTAAACCTAGTATATAATTTGAAAGTCAAGTAAACATATTTCCCATGACAACTTCCAAAGTCCCACATCCAAGAGACAAAGCACAGCATAGCCAGGGACTTTCCAAGAAAGGACAGTGAGTCATGGTGTGGCATGTGGTTAAAGATTTACAAGCTTCAAAGCACAGAATGACTGTTACTGGGAAGAAAAGGCTTAAATCCAGCCCATTCCTCCTCCTCTACGCTATCCCATATGGACCCGCTATGTAATTGCCCACAGGACAAAGCAGGTCGCCAGCAATACAAGAACTGGCCCTGTCAGCTGTAATAATGAGGAAAAACTGGTCATAGGATGACTCAAAAGGGTGACTATAAATCAGCTGTTTTATTTTATGGCATGAAAGACCAGTGAATTTGGTCTCCCCACAACTTGAAAGCATTATAAAAGAATATAATCATTTATGCCCCAATTTGACAGTCATGAGCCTCACTAAAACCTAGGAAAATGTTTAGGCTGGGTATGATGGCTCACTTCTGTAATCCCAGCACTTTGGGAGGCCAAGGGAGGTGGATTGCTTGAGTCCAGGAGTTTGAGACCAGCCTAGGCCACATAGTGAAACCTCATCTCTACCCCCCACAAAATCAAAGAATTAGCCAGGTGTGGTAGCACACACATGTAGTCCCAGCTACTTGGGATGCTGAAATAGAAGGATCTCCTGAGCCCAGGAGGCCGAGGATGCCATGAGCTATGATAGTTGTGATCATGCCACTGAACTCCAGCCTGGGTGATAGGCTCAAAAAAAAAGAAGAAGAACCTAGAAAAATCTGTGAAAAATTACCCGATGTCCTAACTTTTCATAATAATAAACTGAAAATAGAACTGGTCAATTGTTTAAGCATTTATAGTTGAGCTTCCATTTTCGAATTGAAAGGTAAAACATTAATGGTATGTAGCTATATAGGATGGCATAAAGATATTCTTCACAGCAATAACGTCAAAATTATGAAATAGACAACAATGGAGAATTCAGCTACAAAAATAATATAGAAATAATTATCTCATGATTTGTGAAACTGCATACATCAAACATGATGGGGTTGAAGAAAAGCAGAGATGAGTAACACCACATACACGATGAGAGAGCAAACACTCAGTGCCTCAAAACAAAGAGATGCTCCTGTGGAAACAGGTATGGCCTCCAGGGTTTACAGAGCTGGCCAGAGAGTGGCTGCTTAGGAGCATAACACAGACCAAAGTGCTGAAGAGCAATAACTGACAACCTCTAAACCTCTGCCTGGTCTCTGTGTGGCAATCAATGAAAACAGGATTTTTTTTTTTTTTTTTGAGTTGAAGTGTCACTCTGTTGCTCAGGCTGCAGTGCAGTGGCATGCTGCTCATGGCCGCTGCAGCCTCAACCTGCTGGTCTCAGGCAATCCTTCCTCTTCAGCCTTCCAAGTAGCTGGAACTACAGGCATGTGCCACCATGCCCAGCTAATTTTTTGATTTATTGTAGAGATAAGGTCTTGCCATGTTGCCCAGACCGGTCTCAAACCCATGGACTCAGGCAATCCTCTTGCCTCTGCCTCCCAAAGCACTAGGATTACAGGCGTGAGTCACCGCACTCGGCTAGAGGACAGGGTCTTTCAAATCTCACTTAGGTGAATGTTGTTTTTCCTTCTATTATGAGGTGACCCTAAAGCAAGTCCTTGGAGCCAAATATAGATAGGCAGGCTTCAGACACAGCTTGACAAAAGCATTCAAGGTAGTTTGGGTTATTTTGCTTTTTTGGGTTTTGTTTTATTTGTTTTGGTTTGGGGTTTTGGGGGTTTTTTTTATTTTTTGCATTTTAAGAGGGAATCTATATAAATAATGCTAAATTTAGGAAAATATTTATCTTCACAAATATGGAAATAGACTCTGAGAACTAATATTGATCTTTGTGAGGTATGTAGTCTAGATGTGTAGAGGGGTGTGTAATTACCCACTGGAACTATCTGGAAGAGGCACTTTGTGCTGATAGGGAACCCTCAAAGAGTACAAGATTGGAATCCAAGCTCCCCCTGCCACTGTCTACTGAAGATCTTCTGTGAATTAAGAACTTCAGTCAAGACTTAGAGAAAAGCATTACTGGAGATCACTATGGATGTTTTGGCAAGAAAAAGGAGAGAGATTTCGGGGCAAGACCAACTCAATGCACAGTGGATGGGCATTTCTCTAGAATGGGGAGGAAGGGAAAGAAACATTGGGGACTTGCCATGGGTAAAGGTTTGAAGGAGTTTCTCTCTTCAGAGGCATAAATTTGGGGAGCAGGGAGCAGGGCTAGGAACTGAGATGGATACACAGAATGAATAAAAGTTGTACTTTATTTGGCTGGGAACTTTTCCTTTGTGAGGCTGTCACGTGTCATATAACTTTTTTAAATTGAGATAAAACGTATATAACATAAAATTCATCATTTTAATTATGTCAACATATACAATCTTCAGCAGTTTTTAATATATTCACAATTGTGTACAACCATGTACTTTTCAAAAAATTTTCCCTTCTTATGCTTCAATTCCCTTTAGTTGTTCCATCCTCAGTGATATCCCCATCATCTGTACAGCCCTAGGTAGAGATGCTGTGGAAGCCAAAAGAACAGGCCTGAAAAAGGACCTGTGCCCTGTCCCCCAGTCACCCCTGAAATGAAGACAGTATAGACAGAGTAGCTTCCTGAGGATGGGAGAATGCAGCTTGGGAGTTCCAGATCAGGTCCCTAGAAGCAAGGCACGGCCCACACACTGGAGCCAGAAGTGGTGGGGAGAAAAAAATGCACCACTGGAAGGACTAACTGATGATGGAGGACCCCAGGCAGAGGAGAAAAAGCCTGTTCTCCTAACATATAATAGAAGATGGAGATCATGGGCTAGATGCGACAAGGACCTTGGGGGAGGAAAAGGCAGACACTTCAGGTGAACATAAGTTGACTCCAGGTAGACCAAAAGAAATGATGTTCTTATCTTCTAGCAAAATATGAAATTAGGTGAAGGGAAATTACACATGAACATGTACAACCAATTCTTGTAATTTGCAGTAGATATGTTCTGTAAAGTCATCACAAGCACTGAATACTGAATACTGAATCATTGCTTCTAGGAGAAATACAAGCAGAGCCCATCATAATCCCAAAAGACAGTTTTGAATGGTATAATCTCAAATACTGAAATCCCAAAAGATGAAAATCTGAAAAATATAATTCTGGAAAAAATAATTTTAGCTGGACGCAGTGGCTTACGCCTGTAATTCCAACACTTTGGAAGGCAGAGGTGAGAGGACTACCTGAGCCCAGGGGTTCAAGACCAGTCTGGGCAGCTTGGCAAGATCTCATCTCTACAATAAATCAAAAATTAGCCTGGCGTGATGGCACACACCTATAGTTTCAGCTACTTGGAAGGCTGTGATGGAAGAATAACCTGAGCACAGCAGGTGAAGGTTGCAGTGTCCGTGAGCGTGTCACTGCACTCCAAGCCTGGGTAACAGAGTGATACTCTGACTCAAAAACTAACAATAATTTTTGAAATTCTTTAAAATATACTTATTTACGTTTTCAAAGGGGATTTATCTAAGAAACAGAAACACAACAGAGTACTTCATAGGCCACTTTATACTATAAAATAGACAACAATAGCATACATATTTTTGCAAGTATAAACACTCAGGCATACTAACTATTCTGTGTTTGTGATTTGGGGACTTTACACATGAGGGCTTTAGACTTTAGGGATTTTAATCATTTGGGATTTCAACGTTCAAGATTATGACATTCAGGACCTATCTTTATGGATTACAATCCAAATCCATCCAAGGAGGGGTTCCTGTGACCTGTGTTCACATTTTTGTCAACAGATGAATACATACCTTATTTTATGTGTGTTTCTGTTTTAAAATGCCCTATTTAGCCAGGCTCGGTGGCTCAGCTGCACTTTGGGAGGCTGAGGTGAGTGGATTGCCTGAGTCTGCGGGTTCAAGACCCGCCTGGGCAACTTGGTGAGACCTCATCTCTACAATAAATAAAAAATTAGCCAGGCATGGTAGCGCGCGCCTATAATTCCAGCTACTTGGAAGGCTGAGGAGGAAGGATTGCTGGAGCCCAGCAGGTCAGAGCTGCAGTGGCCAGAAGCGGCCACTGCACTCCAGTCTGGGCGACAGAGTGAGACTCAAACTCAAAAAATAAATAAAATAAAATAAAATAAAATGCCCTATTTAATATATATAGTTCATTCATTAACAATGAACTCACAGCCAGCAGCTCTATAAATCATGTCTGAAGGAAAATTCTCTAACATATATATTTTCTCTGTAAGGTGCATCCCAGCCTTCTTGCACTTAGGAACACTTCAGTACAGTGCTTAGAGGCCATTTTAGACAGTGAAATCAAGAGTGAAGAGCACAAAAATTTGAAACACAGCAGTAGACCATGAAAATACTTCTTTAAAGTGTGAGTGCTAAAACAAGAAGGCAGAGTGCCACCTTATTAACCTCAGCTGAGAATTTGCACATTCAATTGACTTTATTTTTTTTTTTTTTACTACTTGTCATATATCTACAACTGACAAGGAAAATACCATTAGAATTCATGTGGGGAAGCCGGGCTCGGTGGCACAGCCTGTAATCCCGCGCCTTTGGGAGGCTGAGGTGAGTGAATTGCCTGAGCCCACGGGTTCGAGACCCGCCTGGGCAGTGAGACCTCATCTCTACAATAAATCAAAAAATCAGCCGGGCGTGGTGGCGCGCGCCTGTAATTCCAGCTTCTCGGAAGGCTGAGGCGGAAGGATCGCCGGAGCCCAGCGGGTTGAGGCTGCTGTGGCCGGGAGCGGCCACTGCACTCCAGTCTGGGCGACAGAGTGAGACTCCAACTCAAAAAAAAAAAAAGAATTAATGTGGGGGTTACAAATAAGTTTTAGTGAGTAAGATAATTTTCAAATTGAAAACGTGCAAATGAAGAGGATCAATTGTATATATTCTACCTGCATTATACACACAATGTTTATCAAATCATGAAGTTGATAAATTCAGGGATTAGTTAAGTCATTTAATCAGAAATATTCAATCTGTCAACTATGTAAATACACTAAATAAACCATTTTCAAGCTTAACTTAAAAGTGTTGTACTATTTGATATTTTATCATAAAAATATTACATGACAAATGATGCTGTAACAGAGTCAGAGGAACAAGGTTTGAGTTCGTAATTTCCATGTTTGCAAAGGAAGCGGTGATACTTCCAGGTCTACAAGATTGCTTTGAGGATTATATGTGAGAATGTGTGTGAAGGTATTTTGTAAACACTATTTCCTGTAGGTTTCATGCCTTTTGATTAATGAGGTAAGTGATAGATGACATATTTACTTACCTGTACCCAAATATAGCTATCCACTGCTTTTAGAACCTTCACATTGTTCACAGGGTGGATTTCAACTAACAAAGTTAAGCACTTTGATCCTATGGAGAAAAGGAGCCTTTTAGTAATGAAGATTAGATGAGATGAAGAATTCCTGGTAAACCCTATTAAATTGACCGTAAACTAACAAAACAATTCTACCATCATCACAAATTCCCTTGAGGTAATGTAACCAAATCTATTCCCAGTTCTACTCTCCAAGGATGGGTGGTGGCTCCAGGACCCCAAAAGAGCAATCAGCCAGCAAAGGACTTGCCTTCTACACCCTCAGGAGCCCTAAAGAAGCTGAATTCATTATGAAAACCACAGGACTCTCAAGAAATGTTAAGTGTAAAAAGTAAAGTCTTTGAACAGCCCTGGAAGCAGTAGCAGATGGTGGGGAAGAGACAAATTTCAGGTTATAAGAATTCTTTAGTTTATATAAAAGCATCACATTTATAGTACAAGTGGCTTCAGAAATAGAAGATTACTATGTATCACTTTGCACTCTTACCAGCAATGTATGAAAGTGCCTGACAAAACAGATTCTAATGGAGATCATTTTTCCCCTCAATTATCATGATTCTACAATTTGTAAATCAGACATGTCTGAACTTTGAAAATATAAATAGGTTAGCTATTATATGAACTATTCCACACACAAAAAAGGTAATTTTCTTATTCGACACTCTGACTTAAAAGTTTCACTTTGACACTTCATAAAATTCAAAATAGATACAGAAAAAAAATCCCAAAGGGAGAAATCAAGGTACATGAAGTGAAGAACAAGCTCCCACCCATTCTTCAGCCATTTTTAGCATAGCTTCACAGGCCCTCTAGGCTTCTAAGTCTAAACAAGTACAATTCGATTCAGTGTCACTCCAGTTCTGCAGCACAATGGCCAATATTGTTTGTGTATAAAAATATAAAGCTATTTCTGATGCATGAACATGTCAAGGCTGACAGTACCTATCAGCAGGACAAAGACTGGGTTTCCCCCAGGGATGGTGGTAGAACACTGATAATGACCCACTTACTTCCCCAGTGTCACATTTGAGCAAATGTCATAAAAGATAGCAATTAGAAGGAAATCCAAGGACATAATGTAGTCACCACAGATCTCTAAATTTAGGTCAAAGTCCCTCCCCCGCCAAGATTAAACCTTAGAAAAGAAAGAGTTGTCTTATATTTGAGCTCTTATTGAGACTCTAATATGACTAGGCTTTCTCTCAATGACTTTAGTTTGAATAATAATGTGCAATTTGGGGGTGGCACAACAACCTGAAATTTAATCAGTGCCAGTTTTCAATATTTAAGAAAATAATCTGACAGCATTTCTTTCTTTTTTTTTTTTTTTTTTAAAGGGGGGGCAAGAATGTAAAGCAATTTCTGGGATACAGCCTAACAATTTCGAGGACTGGATATCTCTGTAAACATGCCTTTTAGAGATTACTTTAAAAAGACAGTGAGTATGTTCTCACTCAATATATGGACCTTGAATATCCAATGTAATACTATAAGAAAATGACTGACAGTACTGGGAAACTATGGGGGGGATGGGATTAACAGTCGCAAATATCTGTCTGGGGATGGGGAAACACCTCTTATCAACAGGGTGCCTGAATGAAACGTAATTGTACACCTAACCCTTAACTGTACCCCACAAAATTATAATAAAAAATATTGATTAAAAAAAAAGACAGTGAGTGAGTTATTATGTAAAATCACAAATATACAACTACAGGAACAAGTGAAAATCAAGTGTTTGGTAAGTGGGTACTTGTGGCTTAGGATGAAAATCCTAGTGACAGAGACGTACAACCAAGGTAAAGGTAAAGGTACTTTGGGAATCTGCTTGATGACTCAAAAAAAATGGCTCCAGAAGTAAGAAAGATATTGATGTCAAAGATGAAGAAAAACAAAATAGAAATGTTCTGTGAAAAGTGTGAATGAGGCAGAAAAAAGCATCTTTGTCTTATTATGTCATTTTAATTGTATGACAAAATTAATATATTAAATGGTATAAGCTAAAATTCAATTATTTTACCTCTTGCCCTAAAAGTTTATACATTCCACCTAGAAAACAAAACAACTTTGGAGGGAGACTGGAGAAACTCTCTCAATGGAAAAAATAAGGAATCATCATATATCTGGCCTTTTTAGTATGAACTTGCTCCCAAATGAGATAACTGGCTATCAACTAAATTCTCTTACCTTTCAAATGAGAGGCTCTTCAAGAGCAGAAACCATCTTCCTACACAAATTTTTTCCCTTTCATAGTGCAGTCCAGACATTTAACTAATATGATTAGCATAATGATAAGAATAAATCTTTGCAAAGAGAAATTTCTCTCAATAGCATAACATTTACTTTCATAGTAAAACAGGAAACATTCTGGATTAGGATTCTGGAGACATCAGTTCTACTTTCAGCTCTGAGACTAACTTAATATATACGTTTGTCACCAAGCTTTCCTAGGCCTCAATGCCTTGTTACTAAATATAAAAGACTAAAGAACCAGGTTCTTGCTAGAATCACTTTCGGTCATAAAATCCCACTAGTCTATGAAGTGCTAAATTAAGAATTCAGAGAATCAAGACAGCAGTGGAGACTGGGAAGGCATCACTGAAGGAGAAGACAGGGCTAGGTAGGACCTGGATATCAGAGGAAGGAGAGACAGCAGGATAGAGGCACAGGGTAAGTGACATGAGAAGGACAGAGGATGGGCAAAAGAACCCCATCTGACGTAGGTAAAGGTATATGCTGTCAAACAGCAGCAATGCTGGAAGAGTCCAGTAGGGCCTAGTTCTGAAGGATCCCCGGTTATTCAAGATCTGCAACCAAACCTCAGTTCCACGGAGGGGCTGGGGCACTTCACTGTCTTCAATGGTATGAGGGGGCTCTGGAGAATCTCAGTGAGAGAGAGGCTCCTGACACATGTGGTCTCCCCATTTCCTGCCCAGTGGGGATCTGCTGTGACCAGTGGCAAATGCAACTCCACCGGGGAGGAAAAAGAAGGCAGCCTTTTCCCTCATTTGCAATGGGAAAATATCATTTGAAGCAATAGAGCGTTAAACCACACCGAGGCAAACTACATTTTATAACTCAAATGGCTTATGAAGTCATTTCATGGACAGACGAGATAAGCCTTATCAAAATATTTGTTCAAAGGACAAAGCATTATTATAGATCCCATAGTACTTTCTATTTACATCATTTCTAAAATCTTAAGTGAACAAAATGAAACCTTCCCATGATGAGCAATACCTTCCGTACATTGATAAACTAGCAAATGCGCATCTCCAACCCCAACCTCACACCTGAACTTCTGACACATGTCCATATTCATACCTCACATTTCTACTGGGATGTCTATCAGGCATCACAAACTGAGCATGCCCAAAATCAAACTCTTCTTTCCTGCCCCTCCCATCAACACAGGTGCATCCCCCTACCTGTTCTGACTCCTTGGAGTGAGTCACCCTTGACTTATCTCTTTTTCTCATACTCCTATCACATCTGGCACCCAATCTTGACAACTAATCTTTTAAATATATCAAAACACAACCACATATCACTCACTCCATTTCCCCAATCCAAGCCACTGGACCACTGTAGTAACTTTCCAGTCAGTCCCCACTCCTCACTCCTCACCCTGCGTGTCCCTTGCCCTCCTGCAGTCTATTTTCCACAGAACAGCTACAGCAATTATTTCATAAAGTAAATCAGATCACTCCCCTCCTCAAAATCTATTTTGCTTCCCATTTGACTCAGAGCAAAAGCCAAGTCTTTTTTTGTTGGGGTCTCACTCTGTCACCCAGGCTGGCGTGCAGTGACACAATCATAGTTCACCGCAACCTTGACCTCCTGGGCTCAGGTGATTCTTCCGCCTCAGTCTACTGAGTAGCTGAGGACTACAGGCACACGCCACCACGTCTGGCTCATTTTTTAATTTTTTGTAGATATGTGGTCTTGCTGTATTGCTCAGGCTGATATTGAACTTCTGGGCTCAAGCAATTCTCCCAACTCAGCTTCTCAAAGAGCTAGGATTAGAGGCATGAGCCATTGTGCCTGGCCAGAAAACCAAGTCTTTACAATGGCCTCCTGAATTCTGTATGATGTGCCTGCGCCTCACCCTCCTCTGGCCTCAGTTCCCATCACTCTGTCCCTCGTTCACTCCACTCCAGCCTCACTGACCTCCCTTCTTGCTATCCTTGAGCAGTGAATCTGCCAAGTACTGTCCTGGTCAGGGCAGGCTGTTGTGCTAGCTGTTTGCTCTGCCAGAATTGCATTTTCCCCAAAGTCACATGCTTGCTCCCTCCCCATCTTTCGTATCTCTGTTTAAACACTCCCCTAATAGCATTTCCTAGGATCATCCCCCAAGTACACTAATTGCAGTCAAATCCTTGCCTCAACCTCTATTTATGGGGAACCTGACACTAAAACAAGAAGTTATCTCAGGGGACAGGATTACTCTGGGACCACTCTAGCCAGAGGTCACCGTGAAAGACTGGGGAAAGGAAACAGGGAAGAAAAGTACAAATGGTAAATGAGGTTGTATTACCAAATTAGCAACCTCCTTGGATTAAGATGCTTGGAGTGCACCTCAGAAATACTCACTTTAAAGATGAAAAGGGGGACCATGCAGCCTTCAGCTCTTCCTCCCTAGTGGGCATCATGCCCAATCATACTTTCAGATTGTACATGTGTAGGCAGTAAACAGATCTTCCCAAGGGCCCTGACCAGAATGCAAAAAGTAGTAGGGCAGCTGAGGTGAGGCACTGTCAAATTACATCTGGGAAGAGCTGGTTCTCACCACAGTGGCAGGATAAAAGCTATGAGGTAAAGCTGTGAGGTATTCAATACAATAACTAACAATGTTCATTCTAGTACTTTTAGAAATGCAAGCAAATATTACCTTACTACAGGTGCATTAAACTTACAAGACTGAACGAGCACACCTGAGCAGAATTTAGTGTTGTAATCAAATAAAACTTAAGGTTGGTCTGAAAGTACATTTTATAATATACATAATCAAAAATGGCTACTGTTCTACATGACAGTCAGGCATAAATGGTAAACATTATGCCAAAAAAAAATAGTTACTACTGAATCTACCAGCATAGTCATAATTTTGAGGCTGTGAAGTTTATAGCATTAAGCTTTAAAGTTAAAGATTGAAAGTCTGAATCTTTCCATAGTGAAATGCCTCAACTAACAGGCCACAAGAAGAACTGGGGGGGGGGGGGTGATAAACAGCACAGGAGCCAATAGGTTCCATCTAGACACCCAGTCTCGAGGACCGTAAGCAGCTAGACCTTTTCGATTCTTGGATAGAGGGGTTGATTAGCCCAGACGTCAGGGTCATATCCTGGTTTTGCCCCTACCCTTGTTTTAGGGGTCAGGAGACCAATGCCCGGATCATATTTTGTTTAAGCTAGTCCAGTTCCATCTCCTCTGAAGTGAGCATTGCACCTAGTTCTAAGAGTAGAAAGTGCAGAGAGCACTGATCAAAGGAGAGCCTGCTCCGGAAGAGGGAAGGGGCTGTTGTGGTTCTCAATATATCATGGCAGGGGAAGGAAAGGATGAGCAATATATTAACAAATGATGAGATTTAAGGGTCTGCCTCCTGCCCACCAACATCTCCCATAAATTCTTCTGCTGAGGCCCTGAGAAAGTCCCATCCAGATTCAACTCGTGTTCCTCGCCACTCTAAGCTGGGTCTGTGGGGAAATGTGTGTCATGAGAAGCCCGGCACTGCCTCATAAGCCTCACGTGGAAAGTACGTACAAAGGGTTTTTCCGTCACATGCAACCGCAGGAGAGTACATCTGAGTGGGAACTATGCTAACAAAAGAAGGAATTTAAGTGCCAAGTAAATGGAACAGATGGAAAGCACCCGGGATCCGAATCATAATAGAGTGATAGGAGATGTACCAGACCAGAAGTTGAAAAATGGCAGTTCCCAGGCTGCCTCCAGCCCACAGGCGGTTATCATTGCCTGAGTAGGATTTTTAAAGATATCTGAGCCAAATTTACAAATATATTTTTACATAAAAATCCAGGCTTCTCTTGATAAATTGAAAAGCTGCTCCCAATGTACCTACTAGTGACAACAAAAAGCCACATCTGAATAGTGGCTTCCCCGTAAAAACCCCCCATGGGACACATTCACCCTATCACTAGTTTCTATAACTCTTTTTTCCATTGATGGGAAAAAATATTTATTGGTTTCTGTGTTTAAAACGGAAAAAACAAAGACACTTTGTTGGTTACCTGGTTTTTTTTCTTACATTCAGTCCACTTGATGTATTTACATGGTCTCTCTGGCCTCTGTATGCATTTGTGATATTGAAACGCACAGCCAGACCGAAAGCTCCATGAGAGCAGTTGCTATACTTCTCTTACCTACCATCATATCCCCATCACCACGCATAGTGCCTGGCCCACAGTGGGCATTCAACAGAATTATAGATGGACGGTATATAACATTTTTAATGGGGGAAGGGGAGAGAGCACCACATAGCTAAAAAATTATAAAGTAAGTCTTGGCAAATGAGTAGAATTGATCTTCAGGATTGGTGGACTAGTCATAATGTGCTAGGTATTAGTCAATACTTAATCAGACATAAGTAAAAAATGTTTTTTCTTGACTTTTCCAAACTTTACACTGGCTTCTGGCCATAGGTTTCTAGTTCAGCATTTATTTAGTCTGCAGATGCTAGTGACCATATTAATACTTCTGCTACTTACTGTTAAACTATTTTCTATACTTTCCTGTTAACTTGAAAAAAAATTTTTTTAACTCTTGTTAATACAAGACATAATCTTTGTTTTTTTCATTCTGAGATACAATAGGTCTATTTCTAAAGATGTTTGAAATTTTGTTTAGTAGTACAATAAATCCTCATCTACCACGGGGCACTAAAAAGTGTAATTTCATTACCTGGTTGAAGCTCATTCCCTCTTCCTTCTTTAGTAGACTGAACTAAACTTGCAGCTAATAGAAAAAGAAAAAAAAATCCATGAGCAATTGACCCATGTAGTGGCTTGTTAAGGTTTACCATTTTATACCTGAGATACATGAAGGCTCAAAGGATGTGTCAGTGGAAGACTGAAGTAGGAAGCAAAGCATTTTTTTTGTAGGTGTACTCTACAGTCTTTATTTCAAACTTAATTTCCCAAGAACATCAATTTCCCAGAAAATCATTGTTATAGAATAATAAAACATTGCAAAAATCCAATATTTTGAAACTTTTTGTTTTGTTTTGTTTGTTTTTTTGAGTTGAAATTCACTTTGTCACCCAGGCTGAAGTTCAGTGGCATGTTCACAGCCTCCACAGCCTCGACCTGCTGGGCTCTGGCGATCCTTCCACCTCAGTCTTTCAAGTAGCTGGAACTACAGGTGAGCACCAACACACCCGGCTAATTTTCTTACTTATTGTACAGATGAGGTCTCACCAAGTTGCACAGGCTAGTCTTGAATCCCTGGGCTCAGGCAATCCTCTCACCTCAGCCTCCCAAGTGCTGGGATTAGTGTGAGCCACGGCACCCAGTCACCTTGAAACTCTTAAAAGATATATTTCAAGCCGGGCTCGGTGGCTCAGCCTGTAATCCCGCACCTTTGGGAGGCTGAGGTGAGTG